AATACTTCACAGAGGAGTCTCGTAGGTTTTTCTCTGTTATACAAGTTTTAATTATTGGAGTATTATAGGTGAATTGAAATGGGATTTGGTATAGGGATATGGTATGCCATTCGGTTTCACCGAAAGTGGTTCCTATTTTGGATTTCCATAAATCAATCTGAATATTTCAACATTTTTGGAGACAATTCTGGACCAGAATGTTACATATTAAAAAGTTTCTACATCTACATCATCTTTTTAGAGTGTCTAGGTAGCTACGACGGCTTCAAGTGATCGCAAACTACATTTTTGTGTGATTACTGTCTTACGAATGGCGATCATTTTTGAAAAGCTGGATCGGAAACAAATATTTTGGCGAATGTAACGATACCAATTTCTCTGCGATTGGATTAAAAAATCAACTAATTTAACAAATCTAGCAAAATTATTACGTTTTTTTTGGAAAAGAAAGTTTTGGCTTTCTACTACTTCATCTTGTTACAAAAAAATGTAGGAATCTTCTAAGGAAATGAAGGAAGCAATCAAATTCAAAAGAAGTAACGCTATACATAGATGTGTAGATCATGGAAAGAAGTAACGTCCAGACACAAACTGAAACCTTTGGAGTAGTAATGAATATTATTGGAGTTTATCCCAACACCAAACCTTTATTTTAACACCTCGACACGTGTTTCTATCACCAAGCGATCGTCTTCAAGAGGAAGATCAAACTAAACTTTGAGTGAAATGCCATCAGTCAAACCACCAACACTGACATAAAAAACTTGGCAACTTGACTATTCTTGGTTTTTCACATTTTGTCTTCAATCGAGGACCGCCTGCCACTTCCTATGACTTACCAGTACGGAGAAACAGAGATGAATGAATGAGTGATAAGTCAGCGACTTTCGCATTTGTAAGAATAGATTTTAAAAAATACTATAATCAAAAAAATCTACATTTGAGTGTTTCAGTTTTATCCCTAGACTCGATAGTTGATTTGTTTTTTTTCGTAATAAAAAATCACAGGGCCATCATCATTCAACATTGAGAACATGCCTTCGAATAAGGCGACTAGTACTATTAGCCGTCTTACAATTTTTTTATTCAACCAGTTAATAAAGACCGATCCAAATTATCGTATCTCGTGCGAAAGAAACTGGCAGTTTTAACGAGACTGGAAGCTACCGTTGAATTTTTTGTTTGGCCTTCGATTCGAAGAATAATCGATAAAGTGAAAATTTTATTTTTATTTTGGAGGCCTTCTCGACACGCCTTCAATTAAAAGGGTATTTTGGAAATTGGCTGTGTCATGTTTTTACTGGCATTCACTTAGAAGCCACCAAAATCTCTCTCATCTCGACCGCCAGCCGCAACGAGCGGCGCGGGCGATAATAAAATTGAAATCGTGTTGTTGAAAGGACGAATCCACTAAAAATAGCACGCGGATGTTATAGTCGTGGAATATGCCATTCGTGGCGTATCAAAGGCAAAAAAAAGATTGTGGCGTCGATTTTTTGTCGTTAAAAAAGTATCGGTTGTACGAGGGGTGATTTTTAACTATAGTTACTACTACGAGTGTAGTTGCAAAACTTTTATAGTTGTCGTTCCAATTTTTTTTTTATCTGATAGAAGTTTTTACGATTATATAATAATAATTGCGGTTCTAATGTCCACTCAATTTATCTTTAACTAACTGCTAGAAAATTTTATATGTGAATTGTTTAGATTGTTCAAAGTTCGTAAAAGAGCTTGAAGGAAAAATTATAGTTAATGAAAGGCACTTTTTTCAGAAATTCATGTTTTACTATTTTCAAAATGAAACTAAAAATTTCAATATCGGTATAAACTTATATGTATATTTCGAAATGTGTTTAAATTTGTTTGACAGTTTCCATGTAGGTACCCATTTTCGTCCATAAAAGTACCTATAAAGTTACTCAATAAACTATAGTTAAACGAAATTTGAGTGAAAGCCTATGAGTGGTTCAGTACTTTTCTCGAAGACAGAATACAGAGGGTTAAAATATAAGAAATGATATTCGTGTACCTCAAGGGTCCATCTTGGCTTCTGTGTTACTTATCATTTATATAAATGACCTCTAAACAGTTTTACCTGTCGCATTCACTTGATTAAATGCCGATGACGTTATCCTATTCTTCTCAGCTTCATTAAAATTGCAACTCTAAAACAACTTTCCTGACAACTGTCTTAGTTTCAAAATACTTCACAAAAGTCTCACCAGCTCACTGAACTTCAAATGTTATTAAATGTTATGAACAGTAATTTTTCATCATGTCCAAATTACATCTGGAATTAGTTTCCCAATCATAGTTTGGGATATATCTCCAACAGCTAAAGATATATTCATTGCGTAAAAACGAATTATTCGCAGCATAGGAAATGCACCGCACTGCAGTAATCAAGTCTCTTCAAGAAACTTGACATTCTTTGTCTTTCTGGTGTCTATATTGTGGTATTTCTATCATATACTCATAATAAATCTGGCACAAATTTACAGAAGGAGAACTAAAGATCTCTCACTTATAATGACACGTATAATAATCTATTATCGACAGGGACAACTGTCGATTAGCTGAAGCGACAGTTCAAACTGTCGATAGTTCAAATTGTCGACAGTTCAAACTGTCGATTAGCAGTAATTGACAGGTCAGACTGACGATTAACTATAATCAATCTACAGTTCAGAATGTCGACAATTCAAATTGTCCTTATATAATCGACAGTTTAAAATGTCGATTAGCCATAATCGACAGTTCAAACCTCGATAATCTGTATTCAACAGATCAAACTGTCGATTATCTATAATTTACAGCTCAAACTGACAATTAAATGTAATCTACAGTTCAAAATGTCGACAATAGAAATTGACATTATACATAATCATGTCGATTAGCCATAATCGACATTTCAAACAGAATCAGCTATAACCGACAGTTCGACATGTCGATTAGCCATAATCGGCAGTTCAAACCTCGATAATCTGTATTCAACAGTTCAAACTGTCGATTATCTATAATTGACAGCTCAAACTAACAATTAAATGCAATCTACAGTTCAAAATGTCGACAATAGAAATTGACATTATACATAATCATGTCGATTAGCCATAATGGACATTTCAAACAGAATCAGCTATAACCGACGATTCGACATGTCAATTAGCCATAATCGGCAGTTCAAACCTCGATAATCTGTATTCAACAGTTCAAACTGTCGATTAGCTAGAATCGATAGATCAAACTGTCGATAAACTGTAATCGACAGGTCAAATTGACGATTAACTATAATCTATAGTTAATAATGTCGACAATTCAAATTGTCATTCTATATAATCGCAAGTCAAAATGTCGATTAGCCATAATCGACAGTTCAAACTCGATAATCTGTATTCAACAGTTCCATCTGTCGGTCAGCTATAATCGACAGTTTAAACTGTAATCGACGGTTCGAAATGTCGACTCTTCAAATTTTCATTATATATAATCGATAGTTCAAATTGTCGATTACCCATACTGGAGAGTACAACCTCGATAATCTGAATTCAACAGTTAAAACTGTCGATTAGCTGTAACTGACAGCTCAAACTAACGATCAACTATAATGTATAATTCGAAATGTCGACCATTCTAAGTGTCATTATATGTAATCAATAGTCCAAATGTCGATTAGCCATAATCGACGGTTAAAAATTTCCATTAACCATAATCGACAGTTCGAACTCGATAATCTGTATTCAACAGTTCAAACTGTCGATTATCTGTAATTGACAGCTCAAACTGACGATTTAGCATAATCTACAGTTCAAAACTTGGACAGTTCAAAATGTCGATTAGCTATAATCAACAGTTCAAATTCGATAATCTGTATTCAACAGTTCATACTGTCGATGAACTGTAATGGACAGTTGAAACTATCGATTAGCTGTAATAGACACCCCAAACTAACGGTTAACTATAATCTATAGTTCAGATTGTCATAATCGACAGTTAAAAATACTGATTATAGAGTTTAAACTCTATAATCAGTATTCAACTGTTCAAACTGTAGATTATCTGTAATTGACAGCCGCAACTAACGATTAACTATAATCTACAGTTTCAAATGTCGATAATTCCAATCATCAATATATACAGTTTCCTGCAACAGTGGCGCGGTGTTCCATTTCTCTATGTAGGAAACAGATAGGAATGTAAATTTCTAGAATATTACCTTATTACTCGAGCTCGACAAAATAAAAATATTGGCAGTCACACAGGGTGTTTCTGAGCGGATCCCAACTGTTTTTTTTCCAAATGGAAAATATTCTGAGTGACGAATATTGGAAAAAAAACCTGTCATGCTAGATATCTCGAAAACCGTCAATATTTTCGAAATGAAGATATACATAAAGTGTCTCTTATTTTCTATGTAGAAACCGAAAAAGCGATAAAAAATATAGGTTGCCATTTAAAAAGACACAGTTGGGATCCGCCCAGAAAAAATTGAACACCCTGTGTGACCGCCAATATTTTCATTTTGTCGAGCTCGAGCAATGAGATAATATTATAGAAATTTAGATTCCTATTTGTTTCCTAAATTGAGATATGGAACACCGCGCCACTGTTGCAGGATCCTGTATAATCGACAGTTCAAAATGTCGATTAGCCATAATCGACAGTTCAGAATGTCAGTTAGCCATAATCGACAGTTCAAACTCGAAAATCTGTATTCAATAATTCAAACTGTCGATTAGCTCTCATAGACAGTTCAAACTCAATTATCTGCAATTAACAGCTCAAACTGACGATTAACTATAATACGGTTCGAAATGTAGGCACTTCAAATTGTCATTATATATAATCGACAGTTCAAACTGTTGATTATCTATAATACGACCCTTGAGCGCCATTGTACATTTCTAAATAAACTATTGCAAATTATGTGAACGTTCGATAATCACAAGGCCAAAGATAAATTACCATCTATTCGAATATTACTGATCTTCAAAAATTCCCAGCAAAGAAAACGGTGAATTTAACGACCGACCAGTTCCATCTACGCCATCCAAAGTGTTCTAAGATGAAACTTTCTAATTAAAACCAAATGAGTTGCTACACCTTCATCACGAAGATCCTTCATCGAAACAAAATCGACACGGAGGCGACCGTCATCGAGAACGATATGTCTCCAAGCGAAACGGAAATGGTGTCTTCCATGAAGCGCCTTATGGAGGAGAAGAACCGTGAGTTGAAATCAAGAGAAGAAAAAATCATCGAGCTCGAGAGGGAGTTGGAAAAGAAGGACGGACTCATCAAACACCTCCAGAACGAGATTGACAAGTTCAGGCAGGTCGTGAGACCCATCACCCAGAAAATCATCACGAAGCAGATCGATTTGGGGGGTGAGTTTTGGCCAGGCCCGGGGGTCGAGAATACGAGGGTGAGGCTTGTGGCGGAGCCGAGGATCAAGAGACAGGCCATCAGTGCTGAGCCTCTGAGTCGGGAGGAGAATGATTTGCACATCAAAAAGATTCCCAAAAGTATGAGGTGAGTGTAAATGACCAAGTGATTTATGACAGATTTATTTATTCACATAAATTTGAGATACAAGAACAAGTTTCGAATCAGTATCTGCAAATATGCACAAATACGTCACAACTGAGGTGTTTGAAAGATCCGTAAAGTAATATAATCCGATATAAATTTATTTGAAATCCCTGAAAAAATCTGTAAAAAAGTAGTTGAAAAATAACAATTTTAATAAGCCACTTACTTAGAAACTAACAGGACTTTCAGTCCTATTAGTCCCTACCTTCTATATATATACAGTGTGACCCATTTTTAATGGAAACACCCCCCTAAAATTTGAAGTTGTAAACCGATTTCAATAATTTTTATTTTGAAATGTCAAGTACTAAAAGGTCTACCTTGGGACAAAATTTGAAATGTTTATTAAAGTTTCAGGACATACTACGATATTTTTTCTTAGTCGAAAATCGGGTTTTTTTATTAGCGATTTTTTTATTGAAAAAATCACTACGCCACTGGATTCAAAGTGTCTCTAAACAGGTGTGACCAAAATTTCATGAAAAAATATTCATTATTAACAAAGTTATGACAACTCAAAAATTCGAAAACTCACACAGCTTACAGTTACAAAAAACACCCTATATCAACAGATATAGCCATGAAAATATTTTTTTTATGATTTCAACAATAAAGTGTCGCCAGATGAAAAAAAAACAAATAGCGCAAATATTTTTAATAAAAATAACGGAATTACATTCAAGTTTTCACGCAAATTAACTAAAACTAAGACCTAATATTTCAATTTGAATCTTAGTTGCAATGGAAATGATATTACAGTTTGACACTTGTGAAAGATTTAAGTGTACTATTGTCAACAATATTCACCTTACAGTTTTTCGAATTATTTTGTGTCATGGCTGCAAGATTGAGCGTAAGAGATAAAATTGAAATTGTACGCCTTTCGGGAGATGACGTTAGAAGTGCTAGAGAGGTTTGTAGAGTATTTAATGAGAGACATCCAGATCGTCCTCGTATTAGCTGCGGTACGGTAAATAAAATAAATAAAATATTCAATGAAACTGGTGCAGTATCAAAAATGATGTTAAAAAGTAATCCTGTACAAAGACGAAACAGGAATGACAGGAATGATCAAATCATTTTAGATTATTTCGGAAATAATCCTATTGCCAGTATAAGGAATGCCACTTTAGATTTGAATATTCCACGAGAAACTATTCGGAGATGGCTCAAGGCGAAGAATATTAAACCTTTCAAGTCAAAATTTTTACACACGCTTCAAGAAGACGACGAAGTAAGACGCCTGGAATATTGTTTATGGGCCCAAGGGGAATATTCAAACAATAGAAATTATATACCGACGAAGCCACTTTCACTACAAATGAAGTAGTGTCATCACAGAATTGTCGCTATTGGGCAGCGGATAATCCTAACTGGAACTGTAAAAGCCAGTATTCTCAAAAAATCAACGTCAGGGCTGGGATATTGAACGAACGAATTATCGATCCTTTTTTTTTTGAGGAAAACATTAATGCGCAGAGGTTTCTAGAATGTTTAAACACAGAACAGTGGCGTAGTGATTTTTTCAATGAAAAAATCGCTAATAAAAAATATCCATTTTCAACTAAGAAAAAATATCGTAGTATGCCCTGAAACTTTAATAAACGTTTCAAATTTTGTCCCAAGGTAGACCTTTTAGTACTTGACATTAAAAAAAATTATTAAAATCGATTTACAACTTCAAATCTTAGGGGGGTGTTTCCTTTAAAAATGGGTCACACTGTATAACAATACTTTCAGTCAAACACGTTCAAAAACAAACTTACTCTATTTCACAAATCGCCAAGCTTTCGTTTCTGAATAGAGACTTCGTTAGGAGGCTAAAATGAAATACAATAGAAAAAAAGGACAATACTTACAAGTTATCTGAGTTTCACAGTTGAAAATTGAATATTGATAAATTTTTTTACAAAGAAGGCACATTGATGTTGATGTCACAATTTTCAGATTTCTGATATTAGTATTGTAATGTTCAAAATTTAGAGTAATGACAAGGGTGACATTATCAATGATAATGCTTTTTCTACGACAGTAACCAAAATTTGGAATATCCTGTATACTAGCAAAAAACAACTAATCACCATGCACTCCGATGATGTAATTATCCCAATCTAGATAATTTGTAATTGATATTTTCATATCAGTTCTGCATATTAGTACATATTCAATTACCATTTACATCACCACACAGCATGAAATATAAAACTCGTTTTGCCTTCACGTTACTCAAATCGTGACCATTACTATTATCATTTCGAATTTTGCCTGGAGGATACCTTCTAAATTTCATTGACATTAACTCCCTACTTTTTCAAGAACCATAACTGGCCGCATTTCGAATGAAAAATCGCAATAATTACTTAATAACGGCAATCTGTATTTATTACAGTATTATGTAAAAAAGTGGTAACGCAAAGTGTTGATGTCGAATGTCGAATGCCTTCCACCGATCCACCTTCAGATAAACCGCCTAATGACCGCCTTCAGGTGACGAATGGCGGTATTTCATATGATACTTGTTATTAGCCACTGAATTCGCTACCACTTTTAGGGCTTCCAAATGGGCTGTCTGCAAAACCGTGCAGAGCGCTGAATGTAGCACTTCATCTTAGATGTTGTATTTCTTCAAACGATTCTGTTTGTTTGGGACTATTGAGCAGTCAAAATATTAGTCTTGTTCACAAAGTGAAATTCATATTTGACATACATTGATTTTGAATGACGTATTGTAGATAATGGTAGTTTCATCGAAAGACCTCAAAATTTGTTCCATAAATTTCCATTTTCTAACGATACCATGAGAGCGACCAGCATATTCCTATTTGCTCGTTTAGTATTGCACCAAATTAACAAAGATTCAGTTTAAGTAATAGACATCTAGTCCATTGAAAAGTTACATTTAGGGTTGCGTTTTTCAGAGAACGCCATTTTATTTTTTCAGTGTGTAGGGGGAGTCAGTAGAAGCTTAAGTTCAAGTTTGTGGGCTCACCACCTTTGTCCCCCGGCCGCCACTTTGGAAAAAGGGGTGTCAAGGGTTTTCGCGCTGTATCTCGTTAACTAGCAATCCTACAGAAAATTCAATCAAACATAAAATGTAGCAAATTAAATTTTCTACAATTTTATTTTCATCATTTTTTATCGTCAAATGACCAACAAAAAAGTTATAAACTAAAATAAGTGAAAATTTTGTAACAAGTTTCCTTTTGGAGGTTATAACTTTTTTCAGTTCATTTTACAATGAAATGACATCACAGCAATTTTGTAGAGGGTTTTTCAACGAACAATTTCCACTATAAAGTTGTTCAATTTTATTTTTATTTATCTACAGCGCTCCAAACTTGACCAGATTCTCGAATGCTCATAGGGATAAAATAAAAACAAAATCTTAGGCTTACTTTTCTATCTATACATTTTTTTATTCATACAATTTATTATCATCTTAACATTTCTATGCATTATGAATAAGCATAAAAATTCATTTTTTCTCAAACCTTTCATACCGGGGGAACTTCTCTGCCTCTTAAGCAAAAAACTTAAGAATAAATATTCATCTGGATATAACGAAGTCCCATTAATTCTACTCAAGAAATGCCTTCCTGCAATTATAGAACCATTCACATTTTTAGTGAACCTATCATTTCTTACTGGGTCATTTCCGAATTGGAAGGGTAATTCCCATTTATAAGAAAATGAACAGATATAAATTAGAAAAGGACCTCTTGCAGAAGGTTATTTAGACAATTTAACATTTTAACTTTTGTCAGCATGTATATATTCTAATTGTCAATTTTTGTCTTTAAAAACAAACATAAATTTATCACCAATGAAATCATACATAGTAGGAATACTCGTCAAAAATATAACTTCCACATACAGTATTGTAAATATAAGGTTACTTCTAATTCACCTTATGTGATGGGCCCAAATATCTTTAAACAAAAACATTTGTTAAAAGTACAATTATTCAAGACACAATGTGTCTTGAATAATTGTGAACTGATTTTTTTTCAACAGAAATTCATTGTTGAAATCTGTTATGCCTTGACATGAGACAGCAGAGCCGGCAACCGAGACACCCGACTTACTTGACGTTGCTAGATGTATCAAACATACTTCACGTATTCTTTTTCGATTTCAATGAAAATGCTACTATTAAGAATAATGTTTCGATTCCAATTGAAAATGTTTTAATATCCCAATAAGTCTCGATTCAGATATTTCTGAATATCATATATTCGCCCTGATGGGCCTGATGAAGTGCCCATCGTCTTACTTGAAAAGTGCGCAAAAGAACTCGCACCAGTATTTTGCAGGCTTCTCAACCTGCCTTATAATAAACGTGTTTTTCCTTCTTGTTGGAAGTTTGCTGGCGTTCAACCTATTCCCAAAAAAGCAAGAAAAAATTTCCAAATAAATATAGATAAGTTGCTTTGCTATCAGTGATATCAAAGATCATGGAGAAATTCGTAAACCACCATATTCTCAAATATTTGGAAGGCTTCAACATCTTAAGCGATCATCAATATGACTTTGGGAAACAAAGATCAACAGGCGACTTTCTATCGTATTTCACTTATATTTGGAGAAACATAGAGAATGAAGAGCTGTTGCGCTTGATATTTCTAAGGCCTTCGACCCTGTGTGACATGAGGGTTTGCTGGCAAAACTTCGATGCTATGGTTTGGAACACTGTTCCGAACTAGAAAACTATATACACCTTAGCAATGATCATCTTCAAGATGAAGATGATCACTTGGTGATCGAAACACCAAGGTGTCGAGGTGTTAAAATAACTGTTTGGTGTTGGAATAAAACTCCAGTATTATTCATTCACTAATGAAATAGTTACCCAGACCAATAAAAACTTATCAGAATCTCTATCTGGTCAACTAAGAATCTTAAAGAGCCTTTAGCAACACCGGAGTTCTAAGAAGCTCTTA